GTTAAAGTTTCGTTGGAACGAAGTTACGGAAAAATCAATTAACAAACGGAGATGTAACACTATATTCCCATTTAAATTGTAACAATAATTTGAATTATGAAACCTACATGTATAACTTTACATTTTGGATACTTAAACATCATCTGCCATGTATTGGCCCAATGCATCAAATGATTTAAATCTCCCTGTAAGTCTGCAGCACCTTTGATACAGTTAGCCACCCAAAAAATCTTAATGTAATCTACAAACTTGTTAGTCGTTCCCGAGTCAATATCATTAATATAAATCACAAACAGCAAAGGACCCAACACAGAGCCCTGAGGCACACTGCTTGTAACTGTGATCCAGTCAGATCTAACTCCATTTATCACTAGTCTCTGCTTTCTACTCTTCAGTCAATTTTCTATCCAATTTAATAACATTTCCTCCACACCCACAGATTTAATTTTTGAAACAAGTCTTTTGTAAGGCACCTTATCAAATGCTTTCTGAAAATCAATATAAGCCAAATCCACAGTATTTCCTTCATCAACTCTTGCATTGACATCATCAAAGAATGTCAGAAGATTTGTTAAATGAGATTTTCCCTCAGTGAAACCATGCTGGCTCTTTGACACTGTAATCAAACTGCCTTAAGTGACTCTGTAATGCATCTTTAATCACACTCTTCAAAACCTATCTAATGATGTAAGACTAACTGGCCTATAATTGCCTGGACAATGTTTATCACCTCCTTTAAATATTGGACTAACATTATCCAACTTCCAATCTTCTAATACTCTTCCACTACTCAATGACATATAAGAAATATTAGCTAGCAGTTCATAAATAAATTATTTAAGTTCCTTTAAACTCTAGTATAAAGTTGTCTGGTCCAGGAGATTTATCAATTTTTAGGTTTCCCAACTTTTCTTTTACAATTTCAGAACTTAAAATGGTATCTTTTGCATCAATATTTTCTCCATACATTAAGTGCTCTGGTTGAGGCAAAATACTTGTACCTTCCTTTGTAAAAACAGAAGAGAACATATAATTTAATAAGTTTACCATCTCATAATTCTCAGAGATCAACTCCCCACTATAATTTCTAAAAGGCCCAATCCCCATCCTAACATTTTGCTTACCCTTCATATACCTAAATAATTTCTTATTGTTTGATTTAGCTCTATCAGCCAACCCTCTTTTATATATAGTTCTTACCCTTTTAACTTTCTTTTTAACCAGCTCTCTTGATTTCCTATAGTCCTCCAAGTCCTTATTATTTCAGTAAATTTAAATTTCTTGAATTTATTATGTTTATCCCTAATATGACCTTTTAAACCTTTACTAAACCATACTGGCTTATTCCACTCCATTGCTCTTATTTTTCTGTAGGGAATATTTATGTTCTGAATGCATATCAATTTTTCCCTAAATGCTTCCCACATCTGTTCAAGATCCCCTCCCAACATTTTAATCTAATCTACAGAAGCCAGATCATGTCTCATTCCATCAAAATTGGCTTTCCTGAAATTTGGAATCAGGGTACTTTTCTTCTTCAATTCTACAGTAGTAAAATCCTAAACCTAATAATGCAATGATCGCTTGTACTTAAATGCTCATTAACCATAACTCTGTCTATCATATTCACATTGGATGCTAATAATGAATCTAATATAGCTTCATGTCTTGTAGGTTCCATCACCAGTTGGTGTATAAAAGTATCCTGAACAATTTCCAAAATCCAATCCTCCTCACTGTCAGACTCAAAATTTTCCCAATCAATACCCGTGAAATTAAAATCTCCCATAATAACAACATCTTTTTCAGCTACCATTCTGATCTCATTATACAGTTTCTTATTAACTTCTACATTCTAACCTGGTGATCTATAAAAAAATCCAATTACAATACTTTTCCCTTTATATCCACTAACCCAAAGCGACTCAACCTCAGTGCTATTTTCTTTAATATGTTCTAACACAACAGGATGCAATTCACTCTTCACATATAAAGCTACTTATCCCCCTTTTTCAATATGCTTTCTCTAGTAAATAATCTATAGCCTGGTATTTCAAAAACATTTCTCTCATCAAAGCTATTCAAATCCAACCAAGTCTCAGTGATAACCATAATA